TTACTTTGCATCACGAATACGCCCACAATCATGTATGCTGCATCTCCTGAAAAGTGAAGTTTTCATTCGGAGGGGAGGGTGGGGGACTCGGCCCCCTCTTTCTGAATTTTCTGGATCCGCCCCCGACAGTTTATCAATTGAAATTTCAAAAATCCTTTGATGCAAACACGTTGAAATGTCGTTAGTTGGCATTTGGTTTGTTGTTAATTGTCTTTCCTTGGAAAGATGATGTGATATTAAATTGATGGCTAATAGCTTGGAACGATTATTGGTAAATTATTATTATTATTATCATTATTATCATTATTATCATTATTGTCATTATTATCATAATATTATTATCGTTCTAGCAAAAATTCTAACGGTTAACTCCGTTAATCTTATTCCGCTGCAATTTTTTTTTTGCTCTGGCGCGTTCGAAAATATTATTTGGAGGATTTACTCCCCCAGCCAAAGTTGGTCAGGCATGTACATAGTGGAGACGATAACGATCTTATTCTGATATAAACTAAAGCGATTCAGCGAAATGAGGTTCTCATAGTGTTGTGTGATCATGTGACTTAGTTCCGGTCTTTCCAGGAAACATGTATTTATCACTACAACGCAGTTGCCTAAACATATTTTGCAGGTTTGATATGTGATGAATAGCATTCGTAAGATAAGCAGCAATGGCGGAAACTCAAGAACGGCTACAACAAACAAGTGAAGAAGTTAAAATTGGTCAAATCATAAAATTTCTGCAATCTTTCGGTGTCTTGCTCACAGAAAATCGAGACATACTCACTGTCTTGCCAGAATTAATCGAGAGGCTGGAGGCGAACATAACAAAAGTGGCCGCAACAGCCACAAGTGATATTATCAGGTAGGATAGTGAGTTGTTTGTCAGGTGTTTTATGCCAGTAGATTTATCCTTTTTTTTCGAAGGAGTGCAAACTGCAGTGCGCGCTTTGGGGACAACCAAGCTTTAGTTTGACGGGACACCAATTACGCGTCACGCAACCGTCTATGTGATATTCTAGAAGATGAATCGGTGTTTGTCAGCAGTGGGATTTGGGGATTTGATCTACTGCTTTTAAAATCTGGCGTGATTCCCAGCAGGAATTTAGACGTCTAAGGCCCATTTTCTCATCCTCATATTTATTTCCGTCATTCACGATCCAGCTAAGCGGCTTTATGACTTTCACAGGTTAACTTATTTTTCTTCTGCTTATTGCATGGTACTTCTTTGTTTAATATTGTTGGATCTGAATTGATCAGAGGATTATTGTAGGGCTAGGTCTCGAGAATAATTCCCACTATGACTACAACAAGATGTCCACTGTTGGCTTGCGTCTATCTACGGAAATTTTCCGCAGACGCAAGATGCTTTAGTATATTTTACGAGCGTATGTAAGGCCCGGACCAAACGCCGCTCCACTCATGTACCGAACCAAACTTGATTAAGTTCGACTT